ACCTACACAAGAAGGTCTCCTGGGAGGATATGACAAAGGAATGGAAGAAGCGGTTCATAGTGGATGACGCGCCTGCGCTCGCCATCAACCGCATCTTCGCGATGGCTCAAGGGAGCACACCGACACGTGACTGGCTCACGGATTGGCAGAAGATCGTCACCACGCCCGATCTGGACCTGCCATTTCCGCATCTGCGCCGTAAGTTCTACAACAGGTCATGCGCTGCTCTGAGCCTCGCACTTGGTGATCGCGAGCAGTACCACACTTTCGCAGAGATCATCAACAAGGCGAGAGAGATCATCAAGACCAACAGGTCAGCTGCACACGAGAAATCAACATGGCAGCCGRCCTATGTGGAGAAGGCACGAACTGGTCCGCGACAGCARCACTTCGCTSCAGTCCAGCARGACAGTGGAGATAACCCAGCAGCCACTCCAGCATCAAGTGACGGAGATCAGGTGGYTGYTGTCCAGCCGYGAAGCAACAACAAKTCCCGCAACAATGGGAAGGCGAAATCCGCATCGCAGGCCGGAAATGGACAGCCAGTACAAGTTCCATGGGTCAAGTTCGGCTTGACCGAGGCGGAGTACAAAGTCCGCGGCCGCTACGGCAGCTGCTATTGGTGCAACAGCACCAAGCACAAGACCTCCYTGTGCCARGATCAGGGCAAGGASGATGTGCGACCCCGCCTCAGCTYGGGAAACTGAGCTYYGCGGAAGGTGAGGCGAYTCCACCTTCCACTCCACCAGATTCGGCCGCCTTGCTAGCAGCCTCCTGCACATCTGGGGAGGACGCGAATGTCGCAAGTTCTCGTTACTCTTACGAGGACTATGCTGTCTACTTGGTTCCACCGCTGGACCAGCCGGTCCACGTGCAACAGTCCACCGCATGCACGGTTTCATCACCATCGGCAACCGATTCGGCACCTTCGCCGCAATCTATCGCGGGGGATTCGACGTCATGGTCAAGACTTGATGAGCTCGACCCGTTGACGTTCACGGACTTCCAGTGGATGCCTGTTCCCTCGACCGGACAATTGCCGAAACCGCATTGCAATGTGCTCATGGCACAACTGCGGGACTACTTGCACACTGCAGTACCAGCTCCGTTGATGGACGGCGGAGTAGAGGTTGTCAACCTTCACGAGTACATCGCGAAGATTGACCGCGAGTTCAAGACGCAACGGTACGACGACATCGACGGACCATTGCTATACATACGCATTCAGATCGGTGAGGTGACTTGCAGTGCCTTGATCGATTGTGGAGCATCTCGCAACTACATCAGCCAGGACTTCATGGTGCGCGCCGGCCTTGGCCCACGCGTCCGGAGGAAGTCCCAGCCTACGCAAGTTACGTTGGCAGACGGTCATACGCACAAGTCAATCGACCGGTGCATTGACGCCGTCCCCGTGTACTTTGCCCCTCACGCAAGTGAGGCGGTGTCCTTTGACATTCTAAACACCAAATTTGACATGATCTTGGGCATGTCATGGCTGCGAAGCGAGGATCACCCGGTGAACTTCTTCAACCGCATTGTTCACATTCGTGATCGGAACGGAGTACTAGTTCCATGCACGGTGCCTCTTCCTCATCCTTCTATCAGCTGCCACGTGGTATCCGCTGCAAGCATGCGAGCATCCATCATCAGAGACGACATCGAGGAGATGGGGGTATGTTTTCTTCACGCCCTCCCGCCCCGAGACGCTTCATCGACGGACTCATCTTCGGATCCACGCATCACCGAGCTTCTCGACGCTTACAGCGACGTGTTCGAGGGCCCGCACGGAGTAGTAYCGGATCRGCCCATCSGCCACGAGATCATCCTCGAGGACGGSGCCGTACCTCCGCGCGGCTGCATCTACCGAATGAGCGAGGRAGAGTTAAGTGTGCTCCGTGCACAACTCGACGATCTTCTAGAGAAAGGCTGGATTYGGCCTAAGCTCATCGCCATACGGTGCTCCTGTCCTCTTCGTCCGAAAGAAGAACAAGGACCTGCGGTTGTGCATCGATTATCGCAAGCTCAACGCGCAGACGATCAGGAACGTCGGCCCTCTCCCACGCATCGAMGACCTTCTCGAGCGATTGGGCGGCGCCCAGTTTTTCTCTAAGCTGGATATAAGTCAGGGTACCACCAACTCGAGATTCGCAAGGAGGATCGCTACAAGACCGCGTTTAAGACACGGTATGGGCATTTCGAATGGCTGGTCATGCCGTTTGGCCTTACGAATGCCCCAGCCACTTTCCAAGCGGCTATGACAACGGAGTTCCGACACATGCTGGATCGGTTTGTACTCATCTACCTMGACGACATCTTGGTGTATAGTCGGAGTTTGGACGAGCATGTGGAACACCTGCGCACCGTTTTGGAGCGGCTACGTCAAGCCMAGTACAAAGCAAACCGCGACAAGTGCGAGTTCGCACAGCAGGAGCTGGAATACTTGGGACACTATGTGACGCCGCAAGGCATCCGTCCGCTTGCGGACAAGATCGAGGCCCTACGAGGATGGCCCGAGCCCACCAACACCTCGGACGTTCGTTCGTTCGTTCATGGGATTGGCGGGCTACTATCATCGATTCATCACCGGATACTCCAGGATTGCTGCACCTATGACGAGGTTACAGTCGCCAAGGTGCCATTCGTATTCGATGATGCCGCACGCCGGTCATTCCAAGCACTTAAGACGGCTATGCTCATGGCACCCGTCCTTAGCATCTATGAACCCACCCTGCCGACGCGAGTGACTACGGACGCTTCCGGCTATGGCATTGGGGCAGTCCTGGAACATTACGACGGCGATGACTGGCACCCTGTGGAGTATTTCAGCCACAAAGTGCCTCCCATCAACTCGCTTGATGATGCAAGGAAGAAGGAGCTGCTCGCATTCATCATGGCTCTCAAGCGATGGCGGCACTTCCTCCTTGGGCGTCGTAGGTTCACATGGGTCACGGACAACAATCCATTGACTTACTACAAGACGCAGGATACGGTGAGCAGCACGATCGGACGATGGATGTTCTTCATCGACCAATTTGACTTCACACCGAAACATCTGCCCGGCCTCTCAAATSGCGCAGCAGATGCACTCTCGCGAAGACCCGATCTTTGCGCTATGACACATCATGCCTTCACATTCGACGAGGAGCTTCAGCGACACTTCATCCGGGCATATCAGTCTGATCACGCTCTATGCACAACTATCTTTGGATCACCCGCCGGCCAGCCATTACCGCATTGTCGACAGGTACTTGCTCCTCCACTCGAGAGGCAAGGACTTACTATATGTCCCACGCGACCGTCGTTTTCGGACTCGCCTTCTTGGCGAGTATCATGATTCACGAGTACGGCAGCAAGCCCTGGCAGTACAAAGTCACATTCAAAGCATGCGATCCCGTCGACACTCGGTGAATTTCACGAGCAGATTTGAAAGCATCTGCACCACTGATCTACGCTCACTATGAACGTCAAAGGTTAGCCAAGGGACCTCCACGACCTGCCCCTCCCACCCGGACTGTGGTCCCTCCCTCAGACAGACAGCTTCACCCTTGCAGGTAAGCTCGGTCTTTCAAGGAGGGGGGGGGTGTGGCAGACTGCGTAGCCACACGGGCCCTGTAGGACCCATCCCGGACATTCAGCCTTGAAGCCTAAAACTTAGGAGCTACAGGCCCCGGTCGTTTCAGCCTGAAAACTGAAAAACGAGGGCCTGCAGGCCCTACTCCGTTTCAGCCTATTTCTGGGTCTTTCAGACCCAGAGTTTTTCCAGCCTGAAACGGAGGGCTATTCTTAGGCCCTGGGCTATTTTTAGGCCCTCATTTGTTTCGACCTGCCCTAAGATTCAGGCACGAAAACTGGGTTTCGGAACAGG